ACACACACATTCTTATATGCTAGATGATCAACCTTTTCTGGTCGATTTCACACCGTTACTTTCACAATGCAATCGCATGACCAGAACTCCAACTTCATCTCTACGCAACGCAAATGACCCCTAATAATGGGTAGGGGTTTCTAGACTTAAGCGGCACACCCCCGTCCAAACCAAATCTGAGTATCCCCCCGGATGCTAACAGTATTATATTTGACTGAGAACCCCGGGCATTATGTTCTTCTATAATTTCATCCAGAGTTGGTATCGGCATGGTAGCGACGTGGTACATGGAACCAAAGAATCGACGTGAAGGAACTTCTTTCTAGCGATGGGAAATTGACAGAGTCCATCGACGGTTCGCTCGTCATCGCCGATGTGCAGAGGCTTCAGGCAGGGAGATACGAATGTCGGGTCGACGGCCAGACCAGAGCTGTCTACAGGGTCGTTGGTAGGTCCATGGTGGATCTATTTTTTTTTCTTCATTGGTTGAGTAGGGGGGGGGGCCAGTTCCGAAGCAAAATGATGATGTTTACTCAAGTTTGCTTGGGTGGGGGGGGGGGGGGGGGGGGGGGGGGGGTGGGGGGGTTGCACGGGCCGATTGAACTCCTCAAAAACATGCATCAATGAAGACGTTCGTTCAAACAGAATTTTGTGGAAAATGGCTTTGCAGGATATCATGTGTTGTTTATAACGCCTTTTTTTTTGTCTTTGATGTCGTATAATAATGAAACGCTTCTCCTTTTCTCCTTCCTGCTTTCAGTGTTATTTTTTTTTGTAATCCACACTTCTAATATTTGTTTATATCCAAGTCATTTATTTATCTCGTTCTCCCTCCATTTTTCTACTTCATGCCGTTTAATATTTGTTTGGAAAGCGGATTAAATTTGTTTTATTTTGGTAATTTTATTATCAAGCATGACATTTTTTTTTCTCTCTCTCTCTCTCATCCTCTCTCTCTCCTCTCTCTCTCTCTCACTCCTCTTCTCCTTGTAGTCATTGCCAGTTTAGCTGCCACTCAAGAAGGTGAGATAAAGCTCTTTTTTTACATAGACCACTTTTAGTTGAGGATTTCCTTCAGCTATAATAACAAAACAAAAAATCAACCTAAACAATTTCAATAGCCTCGTACTTGTGTTACCCCATTAAAATTTGCAAACATGACAATGACGTATTCAATAATCCGAATTTTTATATAATTTCTATGAGACATACAACAGGGGATTGAAATTGCCCTTGTATTGAGTAGATATTTCGAGAATAGATGAGATCGTGTCAACATCAAACAAAAATAAAATCAACAACATAATGACAAAGTAAAAAAAACACAGATCCCTGTAGGCCGAATATGGAATCGCATGATGTAAGTTTTCATTTACACTACATGTTTGGTTGTTGTTTTGGCTTCATTAATTAAGGTCATGTTTAAAAAGTTTCTCATCGTTCTTGATTTTTTTTCTTTCTTATCTGTATGGTTGTCGAGGTTGTTGTTGATGCTGTCGGTTGCTGTTGCAGTTGTTGTTTACGTTATTGTTAAGTCATTGTAATCCGTTTATAAGATCAGTCTAAATATCTTTCTATCTTTCATTCTCGATAAATAATAAGGATCTACATTGTTTGGTATGTTTTCTTCGGCAGATATTTTGAAATCCATAGTGATTCTGGCAGGCGTTCTCGCGGGATACTTCGTCTTGTTTGTGATCATACTTGTATCGAAATATTGCATAAGGATGTGCGCTAAAAAGAAGAGACGGAGATGATGCTCGTTCGAAACTAACTGGTCTTGGAGACGAATTACCGCGTAGACATGAGGTGGTGGGGAAGGCGCAGTGCTGGGTGAGAAGATGATGATGATGATTCACAGCAGTTAGGCGCCATAACTATGTCTGTTTCAAAAACATTCAAAGGCGCGAGCTACTCCAATAAAGTTAGCATTTAAATGTCTGTAGGAAGATGTGAGTTTTTGAGAAGCTTTGAAGTGGTCAAGGTTGTCAATTTCGCGAATAGATGATGGGAGGAATTCCACAGGCGAGGAGCAATAGAGGGAAATGCTCGGTCTCCTTATCCCTTGAGATGAGTAATTTGGAGAGTAAGGCCAGATGAGCGAAGTCCAGGGCGAAGATGACGCCGCTCGATAAATATGACACATATCCAGGAGCCCACGGTGCCTAGTTTGCAGCCCAGAACTCTCTGATAATTTGACACTTAGCCACAATTCCCAAAACCTTGATTAGGCCAAGCTCTGTCAGTCTCTGGCTGTGTCAAAGAAGAGAAGTACAATGAGGTGTTTCATCAATTGATTTCGATTTTAAAAATCAATTTTAAGCTAAAATCCATTTTATTTTTCTGGATGAAATAATCGAAATCAATTTCAGGCCTTTAAAATCGATCGGATCGATTTGCAGATCATTTTGTTAAGGCTTGATGAAATACCCCCCTTAGCTTACATGTGTACCACTATCATGCAGTAGGTTCACAGTGCAGATTGCTACACACGATACCCCCCCCCCCCCCCCCTTTCCTTCTCTATATCACTGAAAATACCTTTAATTATTTCAGAAGTTGACGACTTCTGCACTGGCAGTTATGTCATTAAAAAAGGGACAACTGTGTAATGTGTTGTTGTAACCTTTCTAACTGTTACATTACTGTCAAGTATTAACCTCAACTTGTACCGAAATAAGGAAAGTCAGTTATTACAAGTATCGACGATATCCTGTACATGTAGTTCTACAGGTGTATATAAATTACACAGAGACTATAACAAATATTCAGTCAACTCTTGTATGTTTTTTGCATTGATTTTATTTATGCATTGCCACTGCAGCTGGTAAAACATATTCTTCTTTAGATATATATACAAATAATATACATGTACATGGAAATTATTATCATACATGTATGTAAGTTTGAGCAATTCACGTCTAGAACAATTGTTACCGCCATACATTATTTGTTACAGATTCTACATCTTTATGTACGTATGTCAAATTTTCTTGCAATAAAATTGATTTTCGATCCAGTTGCTCTCTTTCTTTTGTTGATATTTGTATTAATATTTAATCAGAAGTGGAAAGTGTTACCGTTTTAGATTTAAAACAAACAAACAAATAAACAAAAGTGCCCCGTGCATAGAAATTCTCCTTCTACAAGAATTTGTTTTTCTAGATATGTACCTAGTACTGACAATTCTTTATTGAAGGGAACTTAAATATAATGCATACTAATGGGGGCCTGCCTTCTTTTAGATGACTCCATAACATGCATCTACCTGTACATGTGGGAGGGCAAGGCCAAGGTATTTCAAGATAAAAAGAATTAAAAGATGACATTTCTGACACATGTATTTGTACGATAACGGTCCCTCATTGTTTTGTTATGATAACAAGATGTGAAATTCTTATAGAAGGCCAGGAATGATCCGTAGAATGATATTGACCTAATGATAACAAAGTTACAATTTTTTAATACAAATAAATAAAACCTCCAACTTATACCAGTGGTGCCAATTAAGAATTCCAAAAACTACTCACATGTAAAATCAAAGTAGAGTGTCACTATCATGAACACACAGTGTAAGACAAATAACTATTAAAAAAAACTCTTGAGGTTTTTCTTGCTTTAGAATAATGAATTAAGAAATTATACAAGAAATAAATATAAATCTGAATGGAAATTGACAATGATCTGTAATTCGTATCTGGTGCAATTGGTGCTCTTGTTCAGCCTACATGAGAAGCCAATAAATATGAACACACTTTTCAAAGAGAACCTGAAAGAAATGACACATTCGATTTGTATACAAGGTTTCAAACTACATGTACTACATGTATGCAAGGTCTTGATAAACTGATGTTTCAAAAGGAATTATCTTTGGACAGCAATAGACATGTGAACACTTCTAAGAAGAAAACCAACAGGTAAATTCTGTAAAATTATCGTCAATATTTACTGCCACATGACCCAGCAGATTTGATATGATATCAGACAGTTGATGATCTGCCCTGAATGCTCTTGGTTAGGCTTGGCAAAGTGCCAGGAGGAAAGCACAAACAAAGTTGGGACTATACATGTACATTTTACAGAGTACAGTACATTTACATTGTACAGTGTAAGTAGCCAACATGTTAAGGTACATGTACATGCCCACATTATAAATTAATACCCCGGTAAATTGAAATTTGACACTCATGGTCAGTCCAGGTCAAGTTTACCCAGGAAATTAAACCAACGTCAACAAATACATTGAGCGGATTTAAATTGTTACACCCTGTAAGTGGTACCGCACTACACTGGTAGAAAACAAATACTGGTCAAAGAATACCGCTCAAGGTTTCTCATAAACATGCAAACCAATACCAAGTGTATGTAGATTCATTGAGAAGTACAGGCCGTGTTGTCTTGAGGTCAAATGAATTATCAAATCAATAATAAGAACAATAACCGGTCAAGTTGGTCAACCTACAGAGACTTTTTAAAAGCTTTCAATAGGTGAAGAAGGTCAAGTGAACACAGCTTCCTTTTATCTCTCGTCTACATAAACGCAAACAAGATAATGTATCAAGTTCTAATATAAGGGTATTATGGCCCATCCAAGCATAATCAATATAATTAATGCCCTACACATGTACATGTACCTGTAGTGTACTTCACATGCATCAAATGTACATACATGTAGTATTCATTTACAACCATTGAAATCCTCTAGCTTTTGTTCAAGCTTTAATGACATGTATGTACATGTACACATACTGTAGCACACACTGCAACGCATGTGCAAAGGTACTGATGAAGAATACACAAGAATGAAACCAGTATTTCCTCCTTGTTTCTTGAAAACAATATGGGGATAGATTATGTATTGAACACATCAATGGCAGATCCAGGAAATGATTTTGCATGATTACCATGGTACAAGAAAGTTGGCTTGGAACATAAGGGCAGCCCTACAACAGTTGGAGCAAATGGCCTTCAAAAGTACAATTTTTATTCTCTCTCCCCCCCCCCCCCCCCCCCCCCCCCCCCAATCATTAGCACAAAAGTTATGGTATATCAATTTGCAATGTCTGCTAACTCTGCTCACATGATCATCCAATCATGTAGAATATATTTATGTACATTTAATTGTATGTACAATGAAAATGAGGCTGAGTTTAGAAGAGGAGTTGTCCATAGTAATGTACATGTAGTTATGAGTTGGCTGAGGCAGTCTGTAATGCAAGGTATTCACTAAAAGGTATCCAGGGTGTCTCCAAATGAATTGATCCACTGTCAACTTTCAAAAGTGCAAAGATTCCTGTCCATGCTTAGCACCAAAAACTGCAACGTCAGGCTTTATATCTAATCTGACTTGAGCGAAAGGTAAAATGAATGAAGTCATTGTAAACAAGTTGCAGATAAATAGGAAGGGAGTCAGTTCTTTCCCAGTGTTTGAATGTTCACCATCATTCTGTTATCAAAACTCTTTGGCAGAATGTACACACACATCAGTTAGCTTTAGGCAGTGGGACTGTGAAGAGCTTAAACTTTAAACCAGGGGGATGTGCTGATAACCAATCACAAGCAAGGATTTCAGTAGCTTATAACAAAAACTGTCATTTGTCACTGATGACAAGTTTTGTGAAACGTCCCCAGGATCTTCGCTGGTAACCAGCTCCTGCTCTTTCTCACAGACACTGCATGTTGCTCCTGAAGAAACTTTGGATGATGATGGTGACATCTTTAGGCTTCACCCCCTCGGATGAAACCCCCGCCGCAGATCATCTTGCTGCTATGGCAACCTGCAGATACTGATCCTGATACGGCTTGTACTCTATGAGTCTCCTTGATGCCTCCTCCACAGAAAACCACCTTCGACATCGCCCTGGAGTGTAAATCGGGTGCAGAAACAAACAAATGAATAAAAGATAAAAAAAACTTGATGCATTGTTGTTGGCACTGCCAATGTGTGCCATATCAAGAAGTTGAATATATGTCTTGTTTATTATTTAACCTTCTCAAGTTTAGGAGGAAGTCAAGGAGAGTGGTACTGGTCAATAATTCTCATTCTTGATCTTCCAAAGAATTGAACTTTTGAGGCCTACTGGGGGTGTACAGGGACAATAAAAAGAGGATCCCTTAATTTAACAGGGGAAGTGGTATCTACACGTACATGTAAACAGATATATTCCATTGAGTCAAGAAAGCATGATTGAGAGATAAAGTGATTGATATATTTAGATGCATTTATTTATTCTTCTTTTTATTTATAAATCTATTTCTCTGAGTGATTGGTTGATCATTCATTAATCAATGCATTCATCTATTCATTTACATGTACTTACTTATTCATTCATTTGTTTATTTACATGTGTTCTCTATACATTCATTCTTTATACACACATTACATAAGTCATGGAAGGTAGATCTTTGTAACATAGCTTACCTATCCTTTCTCGATCTTCCCAAGAATCAAACTCTTCTGTAACTACTGAAGCAAACACCGACGTTCTGTGCTTGTTGGATGCATCTACAAAGTTACCCACAAAGTTCACCAATCTCGAACTCACACCCGCCTGCAAAGAAGGACAAAATGGGAAGAAAATATCTATTAAAGAATTTTGTTCGATTTTCTGATCAGGAGACAAGTTGCGAAGGCATGCATGCATACTTTACCTGAATATTGGACGAAATTTCTGGTCCTGAGTGATTTATTGTCTTTTTATGGCAGCTCAGCTACAAAATGTACATGTGCAACTGGGATAATAATATAATACTTTGCATTAAGTGCAGTGGAGTATATTTGTATGAAGCTGCAACTATATAAATTATAAATGGCAAAAAAAATTATCATCATCATAATCTTAATTTCTACCTGATTTGTGTAGACATGAATCAATGCTTCTTGATATTTTATTTACAAAATGTATATGACTATGAAACAAACTACTAAACACTTTTAATATTGCTACACTGTAAGTTGCTGTAAAATTAAAAACAACAAAAATTACAATATTAGACTAATGTTAATGTATTATGATATCCCATTTTTTGATGATTGTAAACAATTTCTAGCTTCTTTTGAAGGACAAAAATTAAACTTAATGTACAATGTTAAGCCCCAGTCCCATATAAAGCCGGACCAGCACGGACGAGCACGGACCACTCCGGACCATCCCGGACCATGGTCTGGGGTGATCCGGGATGGTCCGGGATGTTTTGTTCAAAAAAATGTGATGCTTTTAAAACTACAGTCCCATATACGTCCCGGACCGTCCCGGACCATCCCGGACCCCATCCGGGGTGATCCGGGATTCGGTCCGTGTTGACACCGTGTTGGCACCGGGGTGGTCCTGGATGGTCCTGGATGGTCCTGGATGGTCCTGGATGGTCCTGGGCGGTCAATAACTCACTCCCGGACTGCCACGGATCAACACGGACCGCCCCGGCGCCACTACGGATGACCCCGGACCCAGCACGGTGGCTACACGGATCACCCCGGATCAAACTATTGTCCCGGACCGTCCCGGACCACCCCGGCAGTTTTTGACCGTCAAAAACATCCGGGGTCGACTCCCGGACCGCCCAGGACCATCCAGGACCATCCAGGACCATCCAGGACCATCCAGGACCACCCCGGTGCCAACACGGTGTCAACACGGACCGAATCCCGGATCACCCCGGATGGGGTCCGGGATGGTCCGGGACGGTCCGGGACGTATATGGGACTGTAGCTTAAACAGTTAAAATGTATTCTTTTTTTCTAAATGGTAGATTTTGTTATGATTTGAAATGAGAAATAGCTCAGCTTAATGAAAAACTTTATCACACAAATTCATCATAAGGTGAAGCAAAATATGTCAAAAGAAGCTTTCTAACAGAAAATTGCAGCTCTGTACAACAGTAGCTGCTAACAAATCAATATTCATTAGCTCCTTCGCTGACAGCCAATCAAAAGATTCGCCTTATGAATAATGCATATCTATGCAGCAAAGAATGATTATCCGACGGTTCTTTGCCGTAGTCTAAATATCAGGGGGTAGTAGAATCGGTGGATAGATGAATACATAAGCTCTTCATTCAGCGAGCACACAAAAGATATAGCAAAATACACACGGGGATCCCCACACAGCACTGTAGCAAGACTAGTCATAACACTTGCTGTGCATGTGATCGCCATGTGGGTAAGCAAGTGATGTACACAAAGCAAGTGCGCATGTCCATAGTATTCCCGTCATACGTCATCTCTCTCTCCCAGGTAGCACTATAACCGGGGGATCCCAACCTATTGCACTAAATGGTTCTAGATCCGTGATTTCATAACAGGGGATTTTCCCTAGCAATAACAAAGGAAAGAGTAACATCTTTATTTTGAACTGGCGATCAGATATCTTGACCAATAAATAATCAAATAACTTGGTTCAATAGTTACATTTTTAACGTTACTTTATGAATGTCGATTAGCATTTAATGGTATTTTCTGGTTCCATTTATCCTTTCAATGTTAAAAATTCACATTTGATTGTAATATATTGAGGTACTTTTTGATTGGATAATAAAACTTCAAACTCAAACTCAACTCGATGAAAACAATTTTTTTAAGGTTTCACTCAGAACAGAATTGAATTTTTTTTTTTGTTATAGTTCGTACTATACTGGGCTTACTATACTGTTTTGACGGGCCTCCATGTACATTGTACACACAGCACAGCAAAAATTACTTTGCATTTTTCAGACTTGGCTACATGTACAGACAGGTGTACAATGTGTATTTGTCATGTATTTTAAAACTGCATGATGTACTGTACATGTCTGGAAGACAAAGAAACATTTTGTAATGTTTATGTTTAACCCTGCTAAAAAATACATCCTGATTGCCTGGTTTATCTTATCTTTAATTTTCTTTGAACGGGCAGCAAAATATGTTAACACCCATACATTTATCATCCATCAAAGTCAAATAAAAACAGAGGAGCTACTCATCTATCTTGTCTGTCTATTTGCTCACTTCAAATCTCAAAGGTGTGCCCCTTTGAACTTTGTATTTCCACTTGAGGCACTGTTCATAGCATAATTTAATAGGAACAGTCAACGATATACATGTAAACAGTACAATGTAGGTATGCGTGTATCATGGCTGTATAGGTGAATTGCTGTTTGGGCTACAAGTATAACTAAATTGTCTAATACCAAATTAGTTTATTCCTATATGGTCTATATCCAGCCCGTCTACTATCCAAACGGTCTCATAATCATTTTGCCTACTTATCATTTGGTCTAATGACCATTAAGGTTAATAGCTACATGTTTTTGGTCTAGTTTCCATTTGGTCTAATCTCCAATAAGTCTACTACCCATTTGGCCTGTCGCTCATTCGGTCTAACTGCCAAATTTTTCAAAAGTTGTAATTATAAAGATTCACAATTCCAAAAATGTAATTCCATTTAGTTCTATTCCTGTACAGGGTAGGGCTGCACCTATTTACGAACCTTTAACATAACAATCCTATTTCAGTTTCGGAATAATGAACCGTTCAGAATATCAAAATGTAATTCCCTTCAATTCTATTCCTGAAGTAGCTGTACACTGTACGTACTCTATTTACAAACCTTCCGAATAGCAAACTTTAACCGTATTTCAGTTTCAGAATCATGAACCCTTCAGTCTTAAGATTCAGATAAAAAATCCTCCCAAAAGTCGCTACAAATGTTTGGAATTTAGAACCCTACATGTATTTCATTTCAGAATTACCCTGTACTGTATGAACCTGGCTATGGGAAATCTCTGTTTCGGAATTACGATTTACAAACTTTTGGAATTATGAACTTTCAGAAAAAAACAAGTTGTCTACTGATACAGCAGCGCAGGTATTTTCAAAATCATTTAAATGGAGGAACTACAGCCTTCCTTCACACATGAAAAAGCCCAAGGTGATCTTCAAAACTGCTCATCCAATTTTAGAAAACAATGGTGGTTTTGCTTGCCTGCTCTCAAACCATTGGGAGATGAGGGAAGAGAAGGGAAGAAGTGGAGAGGCACAAAGGGGTGAAGAGATGGGAAGAGGATAGATGGGCCTGAGGCTGAGGCTGAGGCTAAAGGGGGGGGGGGGGGGTCAATAAGAGGGAAATAGGGAGAAGGGGAAAAGGAGGAAAGAGAGGCAATGAGGGGAAATGGGAAGGGGGTAAGGGAAGGGGGTAAGGGAAGGGGGTAAACTAGGGGAGGGGGTAAACTAGGGGAGGGGGTAAACTAGGGGAGGGGGTACTAGGGGAGGGGGAGATAACAAACAGAAAGAGCGGGTATGAGAGGGTTAGAGCAGAGAGGGTCAGAGAGGGGGAAATGGTCAAAGAAGAGCAAAGGAGGTGGCTAGAACAGGGGAAAAGTGGGCTCAAGCGTGTCAACAAAGGGGAAACAAGGGTAGAAGAGGGGACAAACTGGGGTATCCCAAGGTGATCTTCATAAACATAGCTTTCCTGCTTATCCAATTTTAGGAAACAATGGTAGATTTGCTTGCCTCTCTTAAACCATTGGGATATGAGCCTGAGGGAAGAAGTGGAGAGGGGGGGGGGGGGGGGGGGGGGGGGGAGAGGGGGGGGGGGAGGGGTGGCAAAAAGGGGTGAGAAGATGGTAAGAGAAAGAAAGATGGGCATGAGGGAGGGGGAAGGGGTGAAGAGAGGGAGGGAAGGGGTGAAGAGAGGGAGGGGGAAGGGGTGATGAGAGGGAGAGGGAAGGGGTGATGTGAGGCAAAAAGGAGGAAAGAGGGGCAATGAGGTTAAAGAGGGCAGGGGGGGGGGGGATAACAAAAAAAGGGGGTAAGCAGCCGGGTATGAGAGGGTTAGAGGGTCAACGAGGGGAAGGGTCACAGAAGGGCAAAGGAGGTGGCTAGAACAGGGGAAAAGTGGGCTTAAAAGTGTCAACAAAGGGGCAACAAGGGGGGAATAGGGACAAACTGGGGTATCCAACTTGAAAGTCACTGAGAATGACAACAATTTACTCACTTCCTCTATTAGTTCTCTGACAGCTGCCACGGCTGGTGTTTCATCAGGTTCGAGGCCACCGCCTGGTATCACCCATAAATCTTGACTTGACTTGCTAGACACAAGCAAGACCTGTGGTACAGGAAGAAAATATACACAAATTGCATCACTTGCCAAGAAAATAGATATTGATGTCATTACATGTAACTTCATGTTTGATAAACATACATGTACATGTTGTAACTTAAAAAGGAAGAGTTTAAATTCATGTACATGTTGGTACATGCTAGTTCAGTAGTTGACTCAACTGTGCATGTAGCAGTTAACTTTTTTCTTCGAAATTATTCTGTTTTCTCTTAACAAATTAGCAACAATTCATTTTATTTTACACTCATTCATAATTTTTATGTAGTTAAATGGGAGTACCCATACTGCACTGCCCTGAGTGCCCTCCTATGTTTTTTGTTTGTAAATATCAATTAAAGGCAGGGATATGAAGAGAGGACTCAAAGGAGTGGTACATACACTGTACTGTATGGAAATGTTTTGCAATTTCAAGATCCATAGCAATCTAACAAAGTAACAACTGGTACAAGTCGAATGATGCAAAAGAGAGATAGCTAAATCGCTTTTTAAAGACATTTCTAAAACAATAAAACTGTTTTGCACCATAGGATTTTCAGACATTAGAACTTTCCTTGTCTTGTTTTTATTCAGTTTTTGAATTGTTTTGGAATTTCAAGATCCATAGCAATCTAACAACTGGTACAAGTTGAATGACGCAACAGAGAGATACAATGTACACCTGTAGATAAACAGTTTTTTAAAGTTTTAAACACATTTCAAAAACAATAAAAGTTTTTTGCACCATAGGATTTTAAGACATCAGAACCCTCCTCCTTTTGTTTGTATTCAGTTTTGTTCCCAGATTTCTTTGGACATTCATTTTTGCTAATAGTTTGCAGTTTCAATAAACACACACGGTGACACACAACCAGTGCGTTTATCTTCATCACCTTGAAGCAGCACTTTAATACTTACTCTGGAAGAAGAAACATTTGTTTTCTTCACAAGAAAATAAAAGAACATAGATCTAGTGTATCTTGAAATAAATATTTAGATTGTTGAACCCCTATGCCATGACTGAGTAAAGACAGGTAGGCCTTAGAATATCTAGACCACTGAGTCTGACTCTGAGGCTCTAGATCTCTCATCTAGATCTAGAATCTAGATCTAGACTAGATTCTATAATAATAATAAATGCTATGTCAATTATGTCATCACTCTTTTTTTTCTTTCTTTCTTTCTTTTCAAACAAAATAAATGTTAACAAAGCCTGGATTACTTTACAACATCCGAACACTAGGCCTAGACGATCTACTATTTTGCAAAGCAATTTCCTTTTCCCTCTCTCAACGTCGCGTCAAAACATAGGTGTCGCACCCGTGTGTATGTAATAGCGATTTGACCATTGGCGATATGAGTAGTGTAAGCTAGGCACGTAGACCACCGCCATACAGAAACATACCCGGCCGTCTGGCTGGGCGCTCCGCACGTGGAAGATCTCTACAGGCATAAGAAGAGCCGTGGGGCGCAGAAGGCGAATGGGATGAGAGGGAGAGGGGCCTGGTTTAACATTGACAATGTCCATAGATACAGATAATATTCAAACCACCAAGATCTCGAATATATGCAAGTCGTGTCTGATGTTAAAACAATGAATTTTAGGTCAAATATGAATAGAATACAAAATCAATCATCATGCAACCTTTTTCAACTCAGCTCAGGCTTCAGTTCAGATAAATTTTCAAAACATGGAGCTAAACAAAGATGCATGCAAAATCCAATAGACTACCAAATTAACAATTAAAATCTAACATTTTCCCCAGCCCTCACAAAACACATCTTAATAATTTCTTGAACAGTCTACCACATGGATTTTAAGGTCTAGCTTTGATAGTTAAATATAATAAATTGAAAAATAAAAATCCAATCAAGCTAACTCACCTCATTCTTTGATTCGTTTCGGAAGCACAGACAAGCGGCTCGTTTCCTTTTGCCATCCGGATAATAAGTCCGAATTTGATTCAGTTTATACTGGTTAATGGTAGAATCCTTTGAACCAACACCACTTAGCATGCTTAGAAGATGGTGGGTTTTAGGTGATATTGTATCACAAGGCATTTCGTCAGCTACAACATGCAGAATTTCTGCAAAAATGTTGACAAATTCGACAAGAAGTATTCCTCAGTTGCTCAATCCCGATTATTTGTGTACATAATAATCCTTAATTTACGTACGTACGTACGCGCGCGCGCGCGAATTGAAACCGTACGCGTGAGTACACAACCAACTAGACTATTATGTTGTCGCTGATTGGTCAATTGCAGGTTATGTGTCTAGGAGGGGTTGCTTAAATTAAAATAGGATGACATGGACTATATGATTTTTTGTCATTTCACATTCCTGTACATGATTGTAAATAGCCAGTTGACATGATTGTAAAAATCAATTCAACACAATTAATACAATATTTCACCCTCACCCTCATTGCCCATAGTATCATCAGGTGATAAAAACACCAAAATTGACACAAAGGTTGAGCCATCTTGAATTCGTTCATTATTGCACCCATGCAGGAACGTAGCCAGAGTTAATGTTTGGGGGGGGGGGGGGGGAGGGGCACTTACATGTAATCGATCGAGGTAAAAAAAAAAATGGTCAAAAAGTTCAACCGATCTTGGAAATTTTTGTGCCCCCTACCGGTTTAAGTTTTTTTCGGGGAGAGAGGGGCTTGGGAACTTGAAGTGGGAGGCTAGAGCCCCCCCCCCCCCCATAACCGCTTGTACATCTTACACGGGGCACTTGAACATGATTATCGTCAAAGGTGGATAAGCTAGGTGCCCGGATTTACAAAATTATGAAGGGTAAAGGTCTACACATTTATACCAAATTAAATTTGATCCGATGTGATAGGAAGAATAGGACTGACTATAATTATAAAGGTTGAATTTGCAATTTTCCTACTCACTTTTATAATTATTTTCATTACTTATAATGCATTTTATGCTATGCCTCGTGTATTCTTTCTGGACTTTTCGTTTAATTTGTGCATACGATGTAAACAATTTTTTTGGGGTAATATTCCGTGCAAATGATTAAATGATAATGATGAAGATAATGATACAAATTTACTAACAATAGTAATGATAATAATAATAATAACAATAATAATAATAACATTGATAATAATTATGATAATGATAAAATATAATTACATTGATAATTACCTTTGACAATTTCTTTTTGTTTTGTTGTTGTTTTTCTTTTTTCCCCTATCATTTTCACCTGTAACATAATTACATTTTTTTTTTTTTTTTTACCTCTGGTATATTTATCCCAGGTGTATTTTTTAACGGTCTATCTTACCTCTGTAAAATATCCGTCATTTTTACCACCGATATAGTCTCTGACATTTTTTTACTTGTAACGTTTTTTACAAGTCTGACATTTTCACAACTAATATTTTTTTAGACTGGCACCACAAATAATTCCGTTGAAGATCTAGTACAGGAAACTGACATGTTCTTTGAATGAACCACTCAATTCACTCTTTCAGGTGTTTGGTTTTTTGTCAGAACCCTGATACCCTTGCTTATAGATGCTCTGTAAAACAAGGCTTGTCCACCTATAGGGCATAGTTATAGTTGGCATGACAGTGGGAAGTGCATGATATCAAGGAGATTTATTTGCTGTCCTCATGTTATTCTAATCGCAATGTAGTGATTGTGTTTTTGTTTGTTTGTTTGCCAACTTTGTAAGGTCTAAGTATGGTATAAAAATCATTTGCTGATTTTTATCATTTATGATTGAATGATTATTAGACCATGATGGATAGTAGAAGAAAGGGGCATTAAACAAACTTGGAATTAGACGAACTATCGAAATTAGACTAACTGAATGGGTAGTAGACCCCGCCCCCCCCCCCCCCCCCACTCAGAGGTCGGAATGACCGCATGCGTGTTGCCAAAATGTCCGGTAAAGGGGTACTTTTCGTGCGACAAAGTCCGGCCCGAGAATTGTAAAAAAAGGGGTGTATTTGACTTTTCACCCAGAGATTTCTTTAAAAAGGGGGTGTTTTTCTTTTTTTCTCTCATTCCATTGGACTCCTGAGAAATTATTCCGAATTTAGGGGGGTACATTGAGCATTTTTCCTGATTTAGGGGGTCTCCAAGGCAGGAAAAGCACGCGAAAAGCCCGCGAAAGGGGGGTTCGGAAATGTTGGCAGTCCTCAGATAGGGGGTGCTTTCAAAAAAAGGGTACGAACAGGGGCGTACGCAGGGGGGGGGGGGGTTTCGGGGGTTCAAACCCCCCCTTTGGTATTTTTATGTGTGTAAACCCCCCCCCAAAAAAAACCCAAACCCCCCCCCCCCCCCCCCCCCCCCCCCCCCCACTTAAAAGCGCGCTCATTAGGGGAGTGTGGGTGATGGGTGAAGCTTAGACGTTTCATCACAATATAGAGAAAGGAAGACGATTAATTATTGTACCGTTTTCGACTGTTAATCCTTGGCTGAATGAAGATCCCCCCCTCCCGCGCGAAGCGCGAAAGCTATGACGTTTTTTTTTATTAAATCATTATTTAAAAAAAAAAATTGCCGTACCGTTCTCGACTGTTTTTAATCTTGGTTGAATTCAGTTTCTCCCCCTCCCGCGCGAAGCGTGGAAGCTTTGACGTTTCATTAAATTATTAGAGAAAGAAGACGATTCGTCGTACCGTTTTCGACTCTTAATAAGCCCTTTTCATCTGAATTCAGTTTCCCCCTCAAAGCTTTGACGTTTCCTCATATTATTAGAGAAAGATCACGACTTGTTGTACCGTTTTCGACTCTAAATAAGCCCTATTAATTTTGTCTGAATTCAGTTTCCCCCTCTCGCGCGAAGCGCGGAAGCTTTGACGTTTCCTTAAATTTTAGAGAAAGAAGACGATTCGTTGTACCGTTCTCGACTCGTCTAAATGAAGTTTTCCCCTTCCTAGCGAAGCGCGGAATTTTGGGCGTTTAATCACAATATAGAGAAAGGAAGACGATTCCTCGTACCGTTTTCGAATCTTAATAAGCCCTATTCATCTGAATTCGGTTCGCGAAGCGCGAAAGCTTTGACTATTCCTCAAATTATTGGAGTAAGAATACGATTCGTTGTACCGTTTTCGACTCTTAATAAGCCCTATTTGTCTGAATTCAGTTTCCCATTCTCGCGCGAAGCGCGGAAGCTTTGACGTTTCATTAAATTATGAGAAAAAGCAGACGATTCGGTGTACTGTTCTCGACACTTAATCCTTATCTGAATGAAGCTTCCCCCTACCGCGCGAAGCGCGGAATTTTTGGCGTTTCATCACAATATAGAGAAAGGAAGACGATTCCTCGTACCGTTTTCGAATCTTAATAAGCCTTATTCATCTGAATTCGGTTCGCGAAGCGTGAAAGTTTTGACGTTTCATTAAATTATTAGAGAAAGAAGACGATTCGTCGTACCGTTTTCGACTCTAAATAAGCCCTATTAATTTTGTCTGAATTCAGTTTCCCCCTCTCGCGCGAAGCGCGGAAGCTTTGACGGTTTCTTAAATTATTAGAGAAGAAGACGATTCGTTGTACCGATCTCGACTCGTCTAAATGAAGTTTCCCCTGCCGCGCGAAGCGCGAAATATTTGGCGTTTCATCACAATATAAAGAAAGAAGACGATTCGTCGTACCGTTTTCGACTCTTAATAAGCCCCCATTCATCTGAATTCAGTTTCCCCCCACTCGCGCGAAGCGCGAAAGCTTTGATGTTTCCTTAAATTATGAGAGAAGGAAGACGATTCGTTGTACTGTCTCGACTCGTCTAAATGAAGTTTCCCCTTCCGCGCGAAGCGCGGAATTTTCGGCGTTTCATCACAAAAGAAAGGAAGACGATTCGTCGTACCGTTGTTGACTCTTAAACCTTGTTTGAATTTGGTTTCCCCGAAAGTTTTAAACCTCTGATTTCTTTAGCTGATATTATAGGAAAGTGAAACTTCCAGAAAATACAAGTATTGTAGTTGTAGTCACTCGCGAAGTCGTCACAGCGAATAAGAAGTCGTAGGGAGAGATGTATATTGTCGGTCGACCGACAATATACATGTACATCTCACCGACTTCAAACTTCTGCATTGATATAGTACACGAGGATCGAGCAAGAATACCGACAAAGCTGACCCGACATAGCAACATATTTAACCGTGTCTTTCTTGCTCCCTCGACGAGACGACTCCACCCAACAACCCCCTTCTCTCTTTAACTCCCACTCTCAGACTCTTACCTCCCCTCTCTCTCCTCTCTTTAACCCCCCCCCCCCGTTTCTATTGTTTCCCTTTCACTCTTTTTTCTTTCTTTTTTTCTTTTTTTTTTCCTTTTCTTTCTTTTCCTTTCTTTCCTCTCCTCCCTCTTTTTCTTTTTTCTCTTTCTTTCTTCTCTTTTCTTTCCTTTCTTTTCCTTTCTTTCCTTTCTTTCCTTTTTTTTTCTTTATTTCTTTTCTTTTTCCTTTTCTTTTTTTCTTTTCTTTTCCTTTCCCTCTCTTTCTTCCCTCTCTTTTTTTCCCTCTCTTTTTTTCCCTCTCTTTCCCCCCTCTCTTTTTTCCCCTCTCTTTTTTCCCTTCCCCTTTCCTCTTTTTCCCGACGCCAGCGCAATTTTACCGACAATAACCTGACAGGTGGGGGGGGGGGTGTCGCACCCCCCACACTATGATACTAAGAACGACAACAACACATTACACCCAAAGTCTAACTATTAAAAAGTAAATAACTAATTATTAGCAGGGAGCGGATTAATTGTATCGTGACAATAGATGGCACTAGAGTACTATTACACACGGTCAGAGCTATTCTGACTGCAAATTCAATCGCAATGACTTTACAAAAACTGCTGATTTACTGACGTTACGTATTCGAGATACAATCATGATTTGGGTGAAATCACTCTTAGTCGCTTGGGGGCACGTTTAATGATGAGAAGTAAAAGGGGTCACACTTATCGAAAGGGATAAATCACTTATTAGAACAGAAAAGGAGCACGTGGCAAACACAAAGGGTAATTATCAGAGGTGAGAATGGGGTAATCCTTACACCTACACAAAAAGCACTCACCAGGGATGACATAATGCACTTATGAGAAAGGGAAATGGGAATTTTTCGATGGAAAAGGGGCAACCATAAGATTTTGATTGGGGCATCAATAAGAGGTGAAAAATAGCATTTATCGCACCTGAAAAAG